GACAGTGGTGAGCTGGAGTATCATCAAAAGCTGCAGAAGTTTGTGCATCCATGTGAGTTGGAGAAAGCCCTTGATATCACCTGGAAGGCTTTTCAATTTACGCTGCACCAACGCGATCGTCAGGTTTTCAATGGGTTTGGTCATCCCAATGGCACGGTTGTGATGAGATACCGCTTGGTCCGAACTTTAGCAACCGGCACGTCTGTATCTGTCGTCCAGCGCCTTGCTGCTCGTCGGTTCTTTGAGCAAGATCGAGTGGTGTGTATTTGGAAAATGTTCACGGAGGGCGAGGATATCTTTCGGGGGATGCACTCAACTCTTACTGGATGGGGCAGTGTTCGAGCGATGCCAGATGGATCCGGAACATTAGCCGAGGTATGCGTCCGACAATTTCCCGTTGTCATGAACGCGACACCGTCAGTTAGCAATGAATTCCATCATTTCCTCCACATCACTCTCGACGAGGACAAGGAGTCGGTGATGACAACCATCCAGCACCGACCACATGTCCTGTCCAACTACCAGAAACTTCGAATAGTCAGCAAGTGTGATGGTAATATATTATAGCTCGAAAGGGGATCGAGCTAGAATGTATTACCATCTAAGTATCAGTCCGCTGCTTGGATCGCTAACTCTTTGTTATTGTCGGTGGCTTATGAAAAATTCACAGTTGAGCAAAATTCATGGCGCTTTTAAGTATCAACATGTTCAAATATTTCAAGAGGAACGTACACAAGTATTGAAGAAGGGGTGTACAGAATTCTAAATACCATGAAGACTACAGGTTTAGTGTAGCTCTTCTAATAGCTCATGACTCTTCTCGGGATGTACGGTTTAATGTACCGAGTTTTTTTTTTTTTTTTTTAAAGTAATAACGCTATATGGGATCAGTAACGTATTGGGATTTAAAAAATCCTCGGTTTTGTTAATCTGCCCCCCCCCCCCCCCCCCCCTACTTTCCCGATTCACTTAGACAAGGCGTGGGCTTCTGATGTCCTGCTCTCGACTCTAGGTATACTGCTAGCAACCACTCGAGGTAACTCACCCAGGACACCCAACTTCCAAACCGCAACGAAGAATGGGATGTACGCTACGATGTCTCAAAATCGCTTATTATCTGCTGAGTTCAAAGTCAATGAAACGAGGAGTTTGCGCGGTGATTACAGTGGCATGACTATAAAGGTGTTCAACACCCAAGAAGAAGACCGCGCATTGAGCTATCCCTCTCAATGCGCTTAAAGGCTGTACTCTATGGGATATGGGTCAGAATCTCCCCCAAAACTCAATCGAATTGGGTGTTGCGCACTGAGAAGAAACACTTTAAGATATTTTACAAATCCGGACAGACGCCTGAAAGCCTAAGCGCCATGAAACGCCCGATTCTTAACAGGTACAAGGCTTGGTACAAGATCAACGCTGTGAACAACCAAACGCATCACTGGTATAATGGATACATATTTGATAATCATGTTCAGGGAGTACGACGTGCTTCTATAATACAAGTTCGTGCATGTACTTCGACAAATGAATCAGGCAAACGTTGTTAGCCAGTGGTTCATGAGCGGCTGGAGAAAAGAAATACTATCTGCAACAACTGGCATCAATTTCATAGCCGATAAAGAGTTAACAGCTCACTAAGAGTGTGGCCACTTTCATTCTACCTGCTCAAAAGTATGCTGTTCTGCTTGGTTGTCTATTTGCACTATCACCCAGAATTACTATTTTTTATATCACGAGCCACCTTGGATAGTGTATACCTCCTCTACCGGACCTGCTTCCCTCCGTTACTTTTCATAAGTACTTTAAAGAGAATGAGTTATTTGTTCGCAATTTTCCGTATTCATAAAGACCTGTCTAAAATGGCATCGTCCTCATGTACCAAAGACTTAGAATTCTTCGAGGTCTTGCCACCCTTGCCGAGAACAGCGCAGTCACTACCGCTATACAATTCGCAGGCAAACAAAAAGCCGAGGGCATGGCTACCGAAGGCTCGATTAGTAGCCTCTCCCTTTGTAGCGCACTTGACAGCCGTGGGGTTTCAACTCTGGGGTCTTCGCTACCTCTGTCAGAATTCCTATGTGGCTACAACGAGATACCGTCGCTTCCAGGCTCCGAGTCACCCGCAACAAGTGCCTCTTTGGTAGCACCCTTGGTGGCAAAAACGCCAATCTCCTCCGACGCAGTTCCAGAAGAATCCTCAACCGGAGCCTTGATGGTCTTGCCTCCCTTGGTTTGATCAGTACTGGTAGATTCGCTGCCCGAGCCACTGTTGAACAACCACGACAGGTCGTTGCTACCACTGCTGCTCAAGAACAGCTCGAGCAACCACGACAGACCAGCTGCTCCGCTGTCGTTGAGAAGTGAAGCTATATCATCAATGTTCGATGTCGGCCTCTGCGAATCCGTTGGTGATACCAGCGTTCCTTTCTTCATCGAAGAATCGGAGGACGACGCCACGCCGAACTTGCTGCCATCTCCACCAGCCAAAATGTGTTCAATATAGTCCATCACGTGCGTAAGACGAGTGAATATACCAGCCTGCTGACCGCATTTACTTCCCCAGCTCACGCATCCAATGAGGATGTCGTCGTTCACGAGAAGTGGACCACCCGAGTCACCTTTGCACGTATCCTTGCCGTTGCCGGTTCCAGCACACATCATGTCCTCCGTGACACGGCCAACGTACTTTTTAAACTTGTCACACTCTGCGTTCGAGATGATAGGAAGCGTCACCTGCTGCAGGATAGCGCTTTCGACATCGCCGCTCTTCTCAGTTCTACCCCATCCTAGAGCGGTACCCATCGTACCGACCTTGTTGTCGGATCCGTCAGCAGCGCACAGCTTCGCCGTTTTGCGTTTAAGTGGCTTCTCCAGTTTAAGCAAGCCCACATCGTACACATGCTTCTTCCGGTTGTACAAAGGGTGACGGAAACCTTCAATGACGGGTATTGAGGTGGCTTGACCTGCGTCAGAACCGGTGCTGTTGTTCGTACCAAAAGTGGCGATAGTGTCCACCTCGCTAGTCCAAATGCAGTGAGCAGCCGTAAGAATGTACTGGGGAGCAATGAGCGTGCCGGCGCAGAAGGTTTCCCCAAAGAAAGAATCGCGCAGACTAGCGAGGAACGGATAATTGTCAATGTTTGCATCTGATCCTCCCCAAATGCGGTTCTCCACGTTTGTAGTTAAACCGGTGTTCTCCTTGGTCTCGGCCGTTGTGGATACGCCGGAGAATGAGTACGCATACGTGAACGTCGAAAGCGACAACACCATCGCGACGAATGGCGCTTCCTGTGCGACGTGCATCCTTCTGTTGAACAGATATAATATTTCCAGCTCTTCGTTGATCGAATAACGCAAACGTTCGTCGTGGTGAAACCCAAAGTGATCTGGCCCAGCATGTCGTAGTAGGGAAGCTTCTGGTTATAGGTTCTGTGTAAATGTTTGGTATAAGTAGGATTGTTAACCGTTGATCCTTTGATTTGATTAAAGTACGTGTATGTAAACGTTTAGTTCCCTAAAGTACAGTATCAATTAAAGCTTTAATATTCCTCAATCAGCAATGCTTGTATGTAAATGTTTAGTTACACAGCGTATCAACTGTACCTTTAGTAAACCTCGGTGTAATCCTGTGCTTAGTGAATTGGTATCTCGACACGACGAGCCTACGATACTGCTGAACATGTCTGCATGACGGAGAACTCCATGCCGTGTGCAAACGACGATGCGATATCATTGAACGGCCATCGGTGAGAAGAAGTAGCTACGCGTTTGCCGACCTGCTCATTGTGCGAGTTGGGAACGAAGAAACACACCTTTAATGGGCCAGTAAATGTTAAATGCAATCACATGAAACTGCAATAAATCCTTCATTCAGCACGACACTAGTTTTGCCCATTTTCGTGCAATGTACAGAGAGAGGCTTGAATAGTTTCTCTACCCGTGCATTTCCCATTGCGATTGCTTCTCCGTAAAGTTTTTTGTTATGTTTTTTATTGCCTGGCACTCACTTCCACTAAGCAGCATGTCTTTGGAGCTCATTTTAACTTCATTTCAAGTGCTCCAGAAGACCGAGTTTTTGCCGAAGCGAAGACGTCTTTCTGTCTTCGTGTAACGGGGTACGAACCCCAGTGTACCCAAGTTACATGAAAAGTGACCAGTCACTCTTATAATACCTGGTACATAGTACCAGGGCTCTAGGAGCCAATCATTGCATCTCTACATAGTCTTACTATAGGTGATTTATAGTCTGTATTAGAAACCAAGCTAAGATCACCTATAAATACATTTAGTCTTAATCGTACTCTCAAGTGAGTACTTCGTCCTCTCAGACCATGGACACGTGAATGGTCGTTCACTTAGAATTTGTATACTCTAGAGGAAATCAACTTCCTCTGCACAAGGTGCTGTGTGACCCCGTCAGACTTGGTAGCACTTGTAGTCAATCCACGCCAACGCAGATACCTAC